CAAAACTCCATCTCAAAAAAAAAAAAAAAAAAAAAAAAAGAAAGTAAGAAAGAAAGAAAAAGCAAAGAAAACCCTTTGCCCGTGGTTTACATGTTAGTCAAATGAGATTAACAACTAGTAAGGTGCAGCGTGCTGAATTTATGCTAAGACTGGGTTTGAAGATAAATCACTTAAACAAAATGACTTAACTTCTTTGAGTCTCAGTATTCCCACCTCTAAATAGGGTCCTAATATTTGTCACCCAGGGGTCTAATAAGGATCAAATGAAAAAATTTATGTGCAAGGAACTAACCCAGTGCCTGGGTCACAAATAATAGTCACAAGCTTGAATCTGAATCAGTATGCAAAGATAAGAGAAATTAAAAGTATAATTAAGGCCAGGCCCAGTGGCTCACACCTGTAATCCTGACACTCTGAGAGGCAGAGGCGGGAAGATTGCTTGAGCCTAGGAGTTCAAGACCAGACTGGGCAACACAGTGAAACTCTGTCTCTACAAAAAATTAAAACATTAGCTAGGCATGAGGGCATGGGCCTGTAGTCCCTGCTACTGGGGGTCTAAGGCAGAAGGACTGCATGAGCCCAGGAGGTCGAGGCTGCAGTGAGCTGTGATCATGCTACTGCACTCCAGCCTGGGTGACAGAGTAAAACTGTCTCTATAAATAAAAAATTAAATTAAAAGTATAATTAGATGTAAGGAATTAGCTGGAATGAAAACATGATAAATGATTTCTATATCAAATAAATGCAAATTAAATACCATTTTTTTTGTTTACTCAATTAGCCCAAACTACAAACAAATTATAATGTCCCCAGCTATCAAGTCCACAAACATGCTCAAGTCAAAACCCGAGGTGGCTAGGTCCCAAGGAATTGAAAACAGGGACTTAAGTGGACACTGTACACCTCTGTTCATAGCAGCGTTGTTCACAATAGCCAAAACATGGAAACAACCCAAGGGTCCATTAACAGATGAATGAATTTAAAATGTGGCATATAATGCAGTGGAATATTACTCAGCCTTAAAAAGAAATTCTACATTCTACAACACAGATGAACCTTAAAAACATCACACTAGGCTCTGCGCAGTGGCTCACGCCTGTAATTCCAGCATTTTGGAAGCCTGAGGCAGGCGGATCATGAGATCAAGAGTTCGAGTCCAGCCTGACCAACATGGTAAAACCCTATCTACTAAAAATACCAAAAAAATTAGCTGGGTGTGGTGGTGCACGCCTGTAATCCCAGCTACTCAGGAGGCTGAGGCAGGAAAATTGCTTAAACCCTGGGAAGCAGAGGTTGCAGTGAGCCGGGATCTCACCACTGCACTCCGGCCTGGGTGACACAGCAAGACTTGGTCTCCAAACAAACAAACAAAAAAACACACACACTAAGTGAAATAAGTCAGCCACAAAAGGGTAAATATAGTATGATTTCACTTATGTGGTTCCCAGAATAAGCAAACTCATAGAGACAGTAGAATAGTGGTTACCAGGGAGGAGTGGAAGCAAGCAATTGGGAGTTACTGTTTGGGATGATCTGAAAATAGTGCTAATGGTTACACAACATTGTGAATATACTTAACGCTATTTAATTGTACACTTAAAAATTGTTAAAATGGGGGCCGGGCACGGTGGCTCAAGCCTGTAATCCCAGCACTTTGGGAGGCCGAGGCGGGTGGATCACGAGGTCAAGAGATCGAGACCATCCTGGTCAACATGGTGAAACCCCGTCTCTAGTAAAAATACAAAAAAAAAATTAGCTGGGCATGGTGGTGCGTGCCTGTAATCCCAGCTACTCAGGAGGCTGAGGCAGGAGAATTGCCTGAACCCAGGAGGCGGAGGTTGCGGTGAGCCGAGATCGCGCCATTGCACTCCAGCCTGGGTAACAAGAGCGAAACTCCGTCCCAAAAAAAAAAAAAAAAAAAAAAAAAAAAAAAAACCGAACTAAAAAAAAAAAAAAAAAAAAAAATTGTTAAAATGGCAAATTTTATGTTACATATATTATTTTTCCATAGTAAAAAATGGGGGCCGGGCACGGTGGCTCAAGCCTGTAATCCCAGCACTTTGGGAGGCCGAGGCGGGTGGATCACGAGGTCAAGAGATCGAGACCATCCTGGTCAACATGGTGAAACCCCGTCTCTAGTAAAAATACAAAAAAAAAATTAGCTGGGCATGGTGGTGCGTGCCTGTAATCCCAGCTACTCAGGAGGCTGAGGCAGGAGAATTGCCTGAACCCAGGAGGCGGAGGTTGCGGTGAGCCGAGATCGCGCCATTGCACTCCAGCCTGGGTAACAAGAGCGAAACTCCGTCCCAAAAAAAAAAAAAAAAAAAAAATTGTTAAAATGGCAAATTTTATGTTATGTATATTTTACCACAATAAACAAACAGAAACCCTGGATGTCATCCTTGATTCCAAATCAGGAGTCAAAACCAATCCAGCAAGTCTTAGTGATTCTAAGACCATCTGTCTTGCATAGTATTTGCCTCTTTTCCTTATTCTCAACTTCCTCACCAGAGGCCAAGTCACTATCATCTCAACTCAGCCATCCCAACGGTCCATTCCACACACGACAGCAACACAGCCTCCAAAGCTCTGCTTGTTATGCCTCCTGCCCTAGCTCTCTGATCTGACCATATCATACAGTAGAGTCCCCTCTACTGTAAACTGCTCTGTTTCAGGTCCTCAAACTAAGCCAAGTTCTTTCAGGCTTCAAGGTTTTTCACATCTCACATACTATTTCCTCTTCCTGGCCTACTTTTCCTCAGAGTCTGGATTCTTGCCATCTTTCAGTCTCACATATCACCCCTTTAGATCTTCCCTGATCACCCTATCAAAAGTGGGTCTCTGGCTGGGCGAGATGGCTAATGCCTGTGATTCCAGCACTTTGGGAGGCTGAGGTGGGAGATCACTTGAGGTCAGGAGTCCAAGACCAGCCTGGCCAACACAGTGAAACCCCATCTCTACTAAAAATACAAAAATTAACTGGGCGTGGTAATGCCAGCTACTCAGAAGGCTGAGGTGGGAGGATTGCTTGAAATCAGGAGGCGGAGGTTGTAGTGAGCCGAGTAGCATGGGCGATACAGTGAGACTCTATCTCAAAAAAATGTGGGTCTCCTTCCTCACCGTTATTCTCCTTAACAGCAAACAATCTTCCTCCATCAGCACACTTAACCACATTTGGAATTTTTTTACTCATTTGTCATCTGCCTCCCATGACTACAAGCATTGAGATGGCAGGGACATTGTGTCATTTAACACTATTTGCCCAAGTGCCAGGCATAAGGCTGGCACATAGTAGGTATTTTAAAATGTTTGTTAGCCAGGCAAGATGGCTCACACCTGTAATCTCGGCACTTTGGGAGGCTGAAGTGGAAGGACTGCGTGAGGCTAGGAGTTCAAGATCAGCCTCGGCAACATAGCAAGACCTCGTCTCTATAAAATTAAGAAAAAAAAAAGTTTGTTGAATAAATAAATAGTGTCCAGTCCTCTAAAAATATTTCACTGTAATTTGGGTTGGGGATGCAGGCTAAGGGCAGATTATGAAGCACCTTCAAAGCTGGGAAAAACATAAGTTAAAAAAAAAAAAGAACAGTGAATTCCTGGCAGATAGTGAGCAAAGCAGTAACATGAAGTAAATGGTGATAGGGTTGGATTGGGAGAAAATCCTGTAATTTGGAAGGCTATGATTTCTCCCCCTTAACTAGTAAGAAAACAAACAATAGCAAGTGAAATAACTTGACTCTGAAAGTCAGCATATGCTATTATAAAACAGGAACTTCGGCCAGGCGCAGTGGCTCATGCCTGTAATCCCAGCACTTTGGGAGGCTGAGGAGGGTGGATCACCTGAGGTCAGGAGTTCAAGACCAGCCTGGCCAACATGATGAAACTCCATTGCCACAAAACTACCAAAAAAAAAAAAAAAAAAAAAAAAAAAAAAAAAAAAAAAAAAGAGAGATGCAAAGAAAGAGAGTGCGAGAGAAAGAGAAAAAAGAGAGAGAAATATATACGTAAGATACAGAGAGAAAGAAAAAGAGCCAGAATTGAAGTGATTTTTGTTTTGTTTCATTTTGTTTTGAGATGGAGTCTCTTTCTGTCACCAGGATGGAGTGCAATGGCGAGGTCTCGGCTCACTGCAACCTCCACCTCCATGGTTCAAGCAATTCTCCTGCCTCAGCCTCACAAGTAGCTGGGGTTACAGGTGACCGCCACCACGCCTGGCTAATTTTTATATTTTTAATAGAGATGGGATTTCACCATGTTGGCCAGGCTGGTCTCGAACTCCTGATCTCGTGACCCACCCGCCTCAGCCTCCCAAAGTGCTGGAATTACAGGCATGAGCCACTGTGCCCCGCCTGCAATTGAGTTTTTAAAGTTAGGGTGGCCTAGTGGGTGTGGCCTTTGGACCAATTCAATGCCCTGTTCCTGTTGCTTCTCCGCCTGGATACGTCCCGAGAATGGGTGTGTGTGTGGAATGCTCTTAGTGCCCCGTTCTCATTAGTGATGCTGTGCCTCACGCTGGTCCCACCAGAGCTGCATGCCGTGGAACAAGCTCGCTGCTGTTCACTACCACGGATAGGTCAGGGCTTAGTGTGAACTCTAACGCTTTCTAGCCTCTTTGAGTTAAAAAACTTCCTACTACTCAGGATATGATTCAGGACCTAGACTCTTCCTCTGTGCTCTACGTGGGTGGCTGGGCATTTGATGACACTCTTCAGATACTGGAGGCAGAACCAGGTCCACAGTTTTGCCAGTGGGAGCCTCTGGCCTCTGAAGAGAGGCAGCCTCCACCAGGAGGTACCCTCTGGGGAGATTTTCCTTCCTCTGTGGGCAGGTGTTTTCTCTCTGCCTTTCCTTTCTCTCTCTTCTCCCTCCTTCTCTCCCTGTCTCTCTTCTTTCCTTCTCTCTCTCCTCTCCCTCTCCTTTCTCCTCTCTCTCTCCTCTCTTTTTCTCCTCTGTCTTTTCTCTCTCTCTCCCTCTTCCTCTTCCCTCCCCTCTCCTTCTCTCCCCTCCCTC